TCGTGACCGTTGGACCGAATTTCCCCCCGGAAAAATCCAAGATCCGACACTTTGGCCTCCGGTGAAAAATTTTTTTTTTCATTTTTCACTTTTTCCACATACTTTTGATAGTTCTGAATAGCCCGTCGCTTAAATAGTTGGAATCAACGTTCACCCGGCTAAAAAAACCGATTTCGGCAAAAAATCCAAGATCTGACACTTTGATCCTTGTGACCCTGGTGACCCTTGGACCGACTTTCCCCTTGGAAAAATCCAAGATCGACGCTTTGGCCTCCGATGAAAAAATTTTTTTTTCATTTTTCACTTTTTCATATATTTTTGATAGGTATGAATAGCCCGTCGCTTAAATAGTTGGAATCAACGTTCACCCGGCTAAAAAATTCGATTTTGGCGAAAATCCACTTGCCCCGGAAAACCCGAAAATCTGACCCTTTGGCTGGGGCCAAAAAAAACGGTTTCTCAGTTTTCACTTTTTCCACATACTTTTGACAGTTCTAACAAGCCTGGCGCTTAAATAGTTGGAATCAACGTTCACCCGTCTAAAAAATTCGATTTTGGCGAAAATCCACTGGCCCCGGAAAACCCGGAATTCTGACCCTTTTGCTGGGGCAAAAAAAAACGGTTTCGCAGTTTTCAGTTTTTCCACATACTTATGATAGTTCTGAATAGCCCGTCGCTTAAACAGTTGAAATCAACGTTCACTCGGCTAACAAATCCGATTTTGGCAAAAAATCCAAGATCTGACACTTTGACCATTGTGACCCTTGGACCGAATTTCCCCCCGGAAAAATCCATGATCCGACACTTTGGCCTGCGGTGAAAAAATTTTTTTTTCATTTTTCACTTTTTCATATACTTTTGATAGGTCTGAATAGCCCGTAGCTTAAATAGTTGGAATCCACGTTCCCCCGTCTAAAAAATTCGATTTTGGCGAAAATCCACTGGCCCCGGAAATCCCGAAAATCTGACCCTTTGGCTGGGGCCAAAAAAAAACGGTTTCTCAGTTTTCACTTTTTCCACATACTTTTGATAGTTCTGACAAGCCTGGCGCTTAAATAGTTGGAATCCACGTTCCCCCGTCTAAAAAATTCGATTTTGGCGAAAATCCACTGGCCCCGGAAATCCCGAAAATCTGACCCTTTGGCTGGGGCCAAAAAAAAACGGTTTCTCAGTTTTCACTTTTTCCACATACTTTTGATAGTTCTGACAAGCCTGGCGCTTAAATAGTTGGAATCCACGTTCCCCCGTCTAAAAAATTCGATTTTGGCGAAAATCCACTGGCCCCGGAAATCCCGAAAATCTGACCCTTTGGCTGGGGCCAAAAAAAAACGGTTTCTCAGTTTTCACTTTTTCCACATACTTTTGATAGTTCTGACAAGCCTGGCGCTTAAATAGTTGGAATCCACGTTCCCCCGTCTAAAAAATTCGATTTTGGCGAAAATCCACTGGCCCCGGAAATCCCGAAAATCTGACCCTTTGGCTGGGGCCAAAAAAAAACGGTTTCTCAGTTTTCACTTTTTCCACATACTTTTGATAGTTCTGACAAGCCTGGCGCTTAAATAGTTGGAATCCACGTTCCCCCGTCTAAAAAATTCGATTTTGGCGAAAATCCACTGGCCCCGGAAATCCCGAAAATCTGACCCTTTGGCTGGGGCCAAAAAAAAACGGTTTCTCAGTTTTCACTTTTTCCACATACTTTTGATAGTTCTGACAAGCCTGGCGCTTAAATAGTTGGAATCCACGTTCCCCCGTCTAAAAAATTCGATTTTGGCGAAAATCCACTGGCCCCGGAAATCCCGAAAATCTGACCCTTTGGCTGGGGCCAAAAAAAAACGGTTTCTCAGTTTTCACTTTTTCCACATACTTTTGATAGTTCTGACAAGCCTGGCGCTTAAATAGTTGGAATCCACGTTCCCCCGTCTAAAAAATTCGATTTTGGCGAAAATCCACTGGCCCCGGAAATCCCGAAAATCTGACCCTTTGGCTGGGGCCAAAAAAAAACGGTTTCTCAGTTTTCACTTTTTCCACATACTTTTGATAGTTCTGACAAGCCTGGCGCTTAAATAGTTGGAATCCACGTTCCCCCGTCTAAAAAATTCGATTTTGGCGAAAATCCACTGGCCCCGGAAATCCC